GAGATTACATTTTTAATTGCCTTCTTTAGTGGATAACATAAAAAATGTCAAGAGAAATAATATCAACACACCAGTCTCCAAAGTTAGAGACTCCTGGGGTCCATGACATAATGGATTGTTATGATTTTAGAAATAATACTGAGGACTTTATCAGAAGGATCCCAAACTACCACAACAAACCTATGCCTCGGCAAGGAAACACCTGTTTGAGTTTCTTCAGATATAATTACAACATGGCAAAACAATAGTCCCTCTTATCATCCACACTGAATGCAACAGATACAAAATTGTCAAAATTCAGATTCTCTTTAAATTTTAAAAGAGGGGGCGGGGGCGGAATCTACATTTCTATCCAGCACTTCACATGCAGACAGAATAATATTCATAATAAATAGACACTGAGAGTTCAACCTCCTCTAGTCTTCACCAAACAGAAAAATGCTGTATATAAATGCTACATTGCATCAAGAGCATAGAATTGAGGAATACATATATTTTATCCATTTTGTAAGTTATGTTTTATTATTTCTTTGTAAAGCAAGGTACCCAGAGTCTTGGGGAGGCAGGCAAGATCATTCTTCCTCATTTTTCCATGTTCTGCTCTTTATATGGGGCTTTGTATCCATTGTCAAACCTATTCCATGGTTCCCTTAATATGTTTGTAAGAAAACTCTTTCTTGGACTGATCAATGTTCATGAGCGTGTAGTTACTCGTAAGGAACTTTGCCTTGTCAAATTCTCTTAATAACCCTAGTGGGTGTGCCTTCCTTTCTCCTGGATCAATAACTAAGAGAATAATCTGCAGCTATGTTTATTACTTTTTCATACCAAACTCTATCTACCTAAGTACATGTTCTAAGCCTTAGTTTGTAAGCCTTTATTTTAAGAACATAAGGGGAGAGAAATCCTCCTAATTATGCACATTAAATAAATGGAATATGGTTCTATGTCAGTATCATAAGAATCAGATATGTTGCTTCCAGACTAGAATGCCGACTAAGACTACTAAGCAACTTTTTATACAGCATTTAGTATAATATTCAACAAATTCCCGGGTATAGTGGGCTTTCTTCTCTTTACTTTTGATCATAGGTAAATCTGATTCAGCAATAGTCTTTGCAGATTCTATCCTTTGTGTTCCTCCCTGTTAAAAGCCTGGGGGGATCAATCATCAATACCCTCTTAACTGATCTTTGAATAGGCTCTCTAAAGTAATGCAACTTTAACTATCTCTATGGGTTGAGGAAATGGAACTAAGTATCATAGAGGAGGAAATAGTGTGAGCACTCAACCAGTTGCCTAACTGCAAAGTCCTAGGAGTTGATGGAATTCCTGGAGAGCTGATGGGACCAGAGCCAATAAAAGGACTGACAAGCACTTTGCCAAAGTGTATGGAAGTGTGGCCTGGAGCCAAAAGAATGGAAAAGGTCAATATTTATCCCAATACCAAAGAAAGGTGATACAAAAGACCATTTCAACCACCAAACCATAGACTTGATACCACATGTGAGTAAAATTCTCTTGAAGATAATTTAGTATCATTTGAATTCAACTGCCAACAGGGAACTGCCTGATATACAAGCAGGATTTCAGAAAGGAAAAGGAATGTGTGATGATATTGCCAATCTATGTTGGACGGTGGAAAAAGCAAAGGAATACCAAAAAGGTCTTCTACATGTGCTTCATTGACTATACAAAAGCCTTCAACTGAGTATAGTCATTGTACTCTGACCAGGCAGCCACTGTAAGAATGGAATATGGAGACACAAAATGGTTCAGAATTGGAAAAGGCATTCAGCAAGTTTAAATCTTGTCACCTAGAATACCATCCAACAGGTACACAAAAATAGCTATGAGAAGTGCACATTTGGAGGAATCTATCATTGGGGTTAAAATCGGTGGTGGGAATATCAACCTCTGATATGCAGATGACACAACATTGCCCATGGAAAGCGAGAAGGACCTGGAGAGGTTAAACCTGAGAGTCAAAAATGAAAGTGAAAAAATTGAACTGCACCTTAACATCAAGAAAACAAAGATAATGACAACTGCAGAGAACACATAGGTCAGAGTGCAGATCCACAATCAGACCATCGAAACAGTAAAGAAATTCATCTTCCTAGACTCTACAATCAGCCAAAGTGGTGACTGCAGCCCTGAGATCAGAAGGCGTATAGCACTTGGAAGAACTATAATGTCTACCATGAATAACATCTGAAAGAGTAAAGACATCAGCCTCGCAACCAAATGCAGATTAGTTAATGCAATATTTTTTCCAATTACTACTTATGGCTGTGAAACTTGTACTCTAGAAAAAGAGTGGATGCATTTGACCTGTGGTGCTGGAGACGACTACTACACATCCCATGAGCTGCAGAAATAAAGTCTTAGACCAAACTTCACCAAAAGTATCACTTGAAGCCATGATCTCCAAACAGAGGCTGTTGTTATATTTTGGTCATGTCAAGAGAGCTGATTCACTCGAAAAGTCAATCATGCTGGGAGTAATCAGTGGAAAAGGAGAATGGGCCACCCTAGCACCTGCTGGCTGGACATTACAAAAGATGATACTGGGATGACCATTGCAGCTGTGAAGGTGGCGGTGCGAGACAGAGGGGCATGGAGAGTGCTGATCCCTAGAGTGGTTGAGGGTCAGATGTGACCGAATGGCTGATGATGAAGACTATGGGTTGAGGAGATAATCTCCTATCACAATCAACAGAGAAGAAATATGGACAAAACCAGCAAACAGGAAATCTTTAATTAAATGCAAAGAAGGATTAAAAGCTGCAGTAGTGTTTTGTCTACCATGGCTAGGCTGATGCTAAAAAATCAGTTTATTCCTCCTCCCATGTGTACATTCAAGTATCTATAACAGTGATAAAATAACACCTTAGAACAAAAAAGAATACTAGACGGCTGAATTGTAATGATTTTTCCCATTTTTCCCCAATATAGGTTTATGAACAAAGTAAGGCAATTCCAAGAAAAAAGACTACTGCAGAATCAGATGGAAAAAGCTATGGAATGCTATGCTTATAAAATATTCACCACTGATGATAATCATTTGTAGGTGACAATCTTCTTTATTACAGTACATAGAAAATGAGTTGTACTTATGTTGGTTCTCAATTCTGGTCTAGAGTGGGCTGTTTTCACAAGTGGTACTAAAAGGAACAAACTCACTTGCTGTGTACACACCAGTATTTCTTACAGCATAATAAAAAAAAATCTTTCCTACAGTAAGAAATTAGGCTGTTTGATCAAAATAAGGTATTCAGAAATTGACAATTCAGTATCCTTAATGACACATCAAAAACTCCTGCAGAGTTTATTAGGTAAAGTGAGCAAGATTGTGTCAGTCAGAAAATCTGGGGCTATCAGTAAGCATAAAACATGTGAACAGGAAGCTATAAAGTGGTGGTGGTTCATATGAACCCCTGCCTTGACAGCGAATTGGTACAGTCCTTATATAGATTTACTTTTGAAATGAAAAATATTTTAAGAAACCTGAACCAATCAGGGCCCAAGATGCATACAGGTAGTCCTTGACCTATGGTCACATTTGGGATGAGAACTTAGTGATATAAATGCCCAATTTGATAACCTTTTTGCTGTACTCATTAAGCAAATCACACAGCTGTTAAGCAAACCTGGCTTGCCCCATTGACTTCACTTGTTGGAGATCAGCTAAGGTTACAAATGGTGATCATGTGACTTGGGAGACTGCAACAGACGTAAATACATGCTGGTTGCCAAGCACCTGAATTTTGATCATGTGCCTGTGTAGACATTGCACCAGCCATAAGTGCGAGGATCGGTTGTAAGTCACTGTTTTCAACACTATCATAACTTCAACAATCATTAAACAAATGGTCCTAAGTCAAGGATTACCTTTATGTGCATTTTTAAGCAATCCACGTTGATACATTTGTTGCTGGAAACAGTGCTACATGTGCAGCAATCTGCTTTACTGCATACATAAAGGTAGGGAACCTCCCATAAAACATTTTTTTTAAATAATCTGAATAGAAATTACTATAGTATGCATTTGCCTTAAAACTATCCTCTTCAACTTTCTCTTTTTAAATCTTCATACTTTCTATCATTAGCAAAATGATGCTTTCTGGATCATGTGTGAAAATATATTGAAGATTAACTGGAATGGGACAGGAGGAATCTCACACCTTCTTTGCTGATTATATTATTTTCAGTAATACCCATCTCACAATTTGAGAATGTTCATGTATCAGGGTAAAACAAAAAGTTCCAAGAATTCTGCCTTATGGTGAATATGTGTCTTTTCATTATGCCACTTCTAACCTTTTACTAAAAGAAGTACCTTAAATCCAGATATCTCTCTTTATTTATTGCTCTTCCATCATTGCCGATTCCTGATTTCAGTTCGATTACTGAGACATATCCCAAAAATCTTAATTCATTCATCACCAAAAAAAAAAAAAATCACTGTTCAGACACTCCCACTAGCAGAGGACTCAAGCAAAAGGGATTAAGCAGCATGCATCAGCACTCTTTTTCCTTCATAGTAAATTAGATTTCTTTGGAATGCTGGCTTCTATCACAACTAGAGTACAACTAGTAAGTGTCATTTGCATAACTGAAGGAAACAGAATCTAGAAAATGGGCAAGAATTTGAAACAAACTTCTCTTTAGTTCCTAAATACCCATTTTTTTTCTTGTCCATTTGTGGTCTTAAGTCTATGAAAGATACCTGAAAAAGAGACATAGATTAACTGATAACAACGTAATATTAGATTAAAAAAAGCCCTGGATATAAATTTTATGGGAATGGAGTAGAAGAGCAAAGATACTCAGGTCTTGGAGTACAACTACAACTCACTTCATCTTTGGGGTTGATGGGAGTTATAGGGCAATTGTTCTGGAGGGCACTGCATTGGAGAAAATTAGATTACAAGAATGGAACTGATAATTCAAAGATGCACTTTCTTCAGGTATATGAAGGGCACTGAAAGCATTACCTGATTTTGACTGGCCTCATACAGCTCTTGAGCCGACGTGATTCACCTTCTTTAGAAGACCTCGTGGGTAGAACTTGGGTAGCCGCTGCCCCCTTCAGTACCACACTATAATTCTTGCCCTGGTTATTGGCCCAGTAAACTCCTTCTTCGGTCTGATAGCGCACCACAAAATCAAGCTGGGCTCCTCCTCCTTCCTCATCTTCCTCATCCTCATCACCAAACTCCAGGCAGAAGGCAAAGCGGTCAGTCAGGCCTCCATCTGGTGAGCCCCCTGAAATATAGAGGGCAGGGTAATCCCGGTGACTTTGCCACCGGTCTTTGCTGGCCCGCACATGCACAGCCTTGTGGTAAGAAACGTTGAGCACACGCACAGTACCACGAAGGACTCGTGGCTCTCCAGGCTGTGGTGGCAAAACTTCTTCCAATTCTACCTTGGCCTGGCGCAGCCGTTCAAGCTTCTCATCCTCATCTTGCCCCACTGGTTGCAACACAAAGGATGGCAAAAGGTAGGGGGTACTTGGGGAGGGAGGGAGGGAGGCCAAGAAAGGCACCACCTCAGGGGGAGACTCTGGCGAAGGCGGTGGCCAAGGCTGGTAGCGCCGCCAGCGTGCCAAGGGCAGGCCCAAGGCATCAGCAAACAGCACATGCCGGCCTGCGGTGTGCTGACAGGGCTCCTCCATGGGGGTGGCAGCTGCAGTGGCATGTTGGGAAAACAGTCCAGGGTGCCCTTGAGCATGCTGGGAGGGGAGCCCTCGGCTGTCCTGCACTGCATGCTGGGAAGGTGGCCCAGGCAGGCCTGGGGGATGCTGAGAAAGTGGCCTGGCCAAGTGCTGGTGGTGCCCGTCATCCTCCCCGTCGTCCTCTGACGAAGAGCAGTTCTCTGGGGCGCTGGGGTGCTGAGGCCTGGGCACCGGGGAGGAGCGTGGCATGAGAGCCCGGGCTGGGGGATCTTCCTCCTCCTCCTCCTCCTCCTCTCCGTCTTCTTCGCCGTCGTCTTCCTCCCCCCCCTCCTCCTCCTCCTCCTCCTCGGCCGCCTCCCGAGTGAGAGGCAAGGGAGGCTGTGGCGGCGGTGGCGGGGAGGAGGAGGAGGCCCCCGCGCGAGCCATGGCGGGCGGCTGGGAGGACGGCGGACTAGCGGCGCAGACAGCTGCTGCTGCTATTGCCGAAGCTGCCGGGCGGGGGGCGGAGGACGAGGAGGACGACGACAGCGAGCCGGGGTGGAGCGAGCCGGGAGAGGGAGGTGGAGCGAGCAGAGCAAGGCGAGGAACGCGGGAGTCGCAGGCTGGTGTCAGGCAGGCTAGCGGCTGCGCCAATCGGAAAGCAGAGCGTAAAAGCGGGGGGGAAGACCCTCTCCGTCTCCTTTACCCGAGAAAAACCCGCAGGCGGGCGACCCTCGCCGGCAAGCAAAGCGTCGGCAAAGCAGTCGAGACCGAAGCACATCTATGCCGGCCGACACGCAGATGCGGGAGGAAAGGCTGCGCACGGCGTCGCCTCCCTCCTCCCGAGCCCCCTCCGGTCGGATGAACTCATTGTGGCTGACAGAAAGCCAGGGACACAATTTGAGCTTGATTGCTTGGTGGAGGGCAGTTATTTTATAATCTCCGAACATCTGTCAGAGAGAAAACGGTGGGGAAAGAAAATGATATAAGCTGTGACGTACGCCTGCATTTTTATATCAGGGCATAGATCTAAGAGGAGGTAAAGTGGCAGCGTAGCCTATCCCAGGAAAGGCACTCTTGATCCATGTTTTTTAAAAATCATCTCTATCCCAGGCCATGCGAAGGGAAATTGGAGTATCCTCACCTGTAATAAATGCATGCTTTTTATTGCACCACATTGTTTGTTCAAAATAAAAGAGTTACAAATCCAATATGGAGAATACATTCATTAGATCAAGTTTTCAATCAGATTGATCTGAAATATTTTAAGCCAACTGTATATATGTTACATATAAATGTCAAGATTAAATTCATACTTATTGGATGACAGCAGTTTAAATTTATAAGAATTAAATATGGTTTACTTTAACATTTAAAGTATATCCAATATGATTAATTACCATAAATGTATTTGTGTTGTTCAGATACAAGTATGATAAAAACAGCAGTTTGGGTTGCAGAATTCTTGAATAGGTATGCACAGAGATGTCTTAATATGTCACATAATTTTCCTTTTATTTATTTAGCATATTATACAAGGAAACAGAAAGGGGTTTGTTTTCTCAAGGAACAGGTGTTACTTGGAATATGGCCTTCACCATTTGCCCATCGCTGAAGACTAACAGACTAATAGATTTGTTAAATTTCTTGGCTGACATAAATGTGGAACCCCACTACCTCCCTCCACTCATGTAGGATGGAATACATCAGGTTTCATCACTGCTAGTTTTTAAATATTTTTGCTCTGTATATAAGAAAAAGTAATTAAAATAAACATAATAATATTAAAATATTATTCCCAAAAATTAACCTGGAAGTTTATAAAATGATTATATTTGTTGACAACACCAAATTATTTAAAAAGTTAAAACAAAAAAGGCAGCAAAGAATTGACAAAGACTCAGTGGCAGAATAAGTATTAAAATAACAAATATGATTCCACACATACATATAAAGTAGAAAAGGAAATATCTTTCTTCCTCATACTACTAGAAACTAGGATCTCCCAATTAAACTGAAAGTGAAAAAGTCAGTAACAAATGATGTTAATGATTTATTAAATGTATATCATGCTTGACTGCCTAGAGAAATACACATTCATACAGTACATAAATAATTAAATTCACTTTTATATAGTAATTGGAGAAATGAATGAAGCATAACATTAGCAAATCAATCAGAATAGTTGTATATGGCCTTCAGTATCAGTGTGAAAATAAAAGGACTCATGTCCTTTTTATAGACTTCCCGTAGTCATCTAATTCATTCACTCATTCAGTGTTAGCAGTGGAAAAGGATAAGCAAAAAAAAAAAAAAGAATGCTTCTCTTAAGACACTTGAAACTGGTTGATAAGAAGGAGACAATGAGAAGAAGAAAGGGGGGCACTAAGGATGCAGGAAGGAAGAGGATTTAAAACAGAATTATATAGCAATAACACTTAGACTTATATACTGCTTTATAGTGCTTTATAGGCCTCTTTAAGTGGTTTACAGAGTCAGCATATTGCACCCAGCAATTTGGGTCCTCATTTTGCCCACCTCAGAAGAATGGAAGGCTGAGTCAACCTTGAACCTGGTGGAATTTGAACTGCCAAATTGTAGGCAGCTGGCTGCAGAATTAGCTTGCAGTACTGCACTCTTACCACTGCGCCACAGAGGCTCCTCATTTATATATACTGTAAAATAATCCAATGGAAGAGCACTATGCAATCTAAAACCATCTCTATCTACTGGACCGGACGGAATATGTGCCTATTTCTTAAAAAAGCTATCCACTGCCATAGCTGATCCTCTAAGCATAATCTTTGAAAAATCTTTCAGGACCAGCTCCTTGCCAAAACTATGGTCACAAGCCACGGTCATCCGCATCTTCAAAAAGGGAGACCCCAGCCTAGTTGAAAATTACAGACCAATCTTTATGCTGCGTCACCTGTAAAGTCATGGAATCAATTATTAACCCATCCAACTCGATCAGGGCAAAGCAATAGACACAATCTACATAGACTTCTGTAAAGCCTTTGATTTAGTGATACACGACAAACTACTCCTAAAACTAAAATCTTACGATATCTCTGGACACCTGCATAACTGACAACAAATGGTCAACATTGGGAGTGTCCTATCAAATTCTGTACCTGTCAACAGTGGTGTCCCCCAAGGCAGTGTTCTAGGATCAACTCTTTTCATACTCTACATAAATGACCTCTGTGATCATATCAAGAGCAACTGCGTTCTTTTCGCTGATGATGTAAAGCTATTCAACACCACCGACAATACTGCTACACTTCAAAAAGACCTCGACTATGTATCAGAATGGTCAAACAAATGGCAACTTCAAATCTCAACAAATAAATGCTCTGTCCTACATATTGGCAAAAAAAATCAGAAAATAAAATACAAGCTGAATAGTCAAGACCTTGTTGATGATCCAAACTCTGTCAAGGATCTTAAGAGTACTCATCTCTAATGATCTAAGTACTAGAGCCCACTGTAATTACATAGCCAAAAAGGCGTTAAGAGTTGTTAACCTAATCTTGCGTAGCTTTTTATCTGGTAATATACTAATAACTAGAGCATACAAAACATTTGCTAGACCAATACTCGAATACAGCTCATCAGTCTGGAACCCACATTACGTATCTGATATTAACACAGTTGAGAAAGTCCAGAAATACTTCACAAGAAGAGTTCACTCCTCTACTCGTTGCAGAATACCTTATGCCACCAGACTCGATATTCTAGACCTAGAAAACCTAGAACTACGCCGCCTTCGGTCCGATCTAAGTATAGTATATAAAATCATACATTGCAATGTCCTACCTGTCAATGAATACTTCAGCTTCAACCATAACAACACAAGAGCAAACAATAGATAAATACCCCTGTGTTTTAGTTCCCTTATATCAGAGGAGATGTGCTATGTTCCTTCCTGCTTCAAACGTTCTACCATCATTCCAGTGCCAAAGAAGCCCTCCATCAAGGAACTGCCAGTTGCTCTAACATCTGTAGTTCTGAAAATCTTTGAAAGGCTTGTGCTGTCCCACTTGAAAACCATCACGGAGCTGCTGTTAGATCCCATGCAGTTTGCATACTGAGCAAATAGATCGACAGATGATGCTGTTAACATGGCTCTGCATTACATCCTACAACACCTTGAATCTCCAAATGCAAGGGTCCTCTTTGTAGACTTCAGTTCAGCATTCAATACCAGCCACTCTTCTAAGTAAATTAAACCAACTAGCGGTACCTGAACACACTTGTAAGTGGATCATAAGCTTCCTAACAGACAGGAAGCAGCAGGTGAAGCTAGGCGGAATCACATCCGATACCTGTATAATCAGCATAGGGGGCCCCCAAGGTTGTGTGCTATCTCCACTTCTCTTCTCCCTATATACCAATGACTGCATCTCAAACGATTCATCTGTTAAAATACTGAAGTTTGCTGATGACACAACAGTGATTGGTCTCATTCGAGACAACGATGAATCTGCAAGCAGACAGGAGGTTATACAACTTGCCTCGTGGTGCAACTGGAACAATCTGGAACTGAACACACTCAAAACCGTAGAAATGGTGGTAGACTTTAGAAGAAACCCTCCTATACTACCACCTCTTACAATACTAGACAACACAGTATCAACAGTAGAGACCTTCAAATTTCTAGGTTCTACTATATCACATGACCTAAAATGGACACCTAACATCAAAAACATCATCAAAAAAGCACAACAAAGAATGTTCTTTCTGCGCCAACTCAGAAAGCTCAAACTGCCCAAGGAGCTGCTGATACAATTCTGCAGAGGAATTATTGAGTCTCTCATCTGCACCTCTATAACTGTCTGGTTTGGTTCTGCAACCCAACAGGACAGAGACAGACTTCAGAGGATAATTAGGACTGCAGAAAAAACAATTACTACCAACCTGCCTTCAATTGAGGACCTGTATACTGCATGAGTCAAAAAGAGGGCTGTGAAAATATTTACAGACCCCTCATATCCCGGACATAAACTGTTTCAACTCCTTCCCTCAAAATGACGCTATAGAGCACTGCACACCAGAACAAATAGACACAAAAATTGTTTTTTCCTGAAAGCCATCACTCTGCTAAACAAATAATTTTGTGCTAATTCCTCTTTTTCCATTAGTCCCATTTTATGTTTAGTTATGTCCATTTTAATTTTAATGTCTTTTTTTGCGGGAACTTTGTAATTCTTTTTCCAATCTCTTATAGTCATCTTCCAATATTTTGAAAGTCTTTTTCTGTTTTCTGTTTCTTTTCCTTGTATAGTCTATTATCAAGCCTCTTGTGTAGGCCTTCATCATGTCCCAGAGATTCTGTAAAGATGTATCTTCTTTTTTATTCTTTCTCTATTTTCTGTTTGAAGTCTTTTTCCTTTAATATCATATTATTTAAAGTCCATCTAGATCTCCTCTTTTGTCCTTTCCAAATGACTGTCATTGGGTTGTGGTCTGCCCAAGTGCTTGTTTCTATT